GGCAGTGGCGAGTTTGTTTGCTAAAGAGGCCTAGTATTTTTGTATTGACGCAACAGTGACCAACTACCATTTGTCGCTCGTGCTGAATTTGCCCAAGGCAGAGACCAGGGGACAATGCCGAACGAGCAGTGACCTTTGACCGATCGACCATTCATCATTTCCCTTACACTCAGTTCTGGCTCAGAGCTCGCCAGTGTACGGGAAAACGAAAAACTCTCAATTACGCAACAGCGGATTAGAATAAAACAAAAAATTTTACACCGTTAGGTACAGAAATAAATACTCTATGAAATGTGTAAAAATTTAAAAATCTAAATATTTTGACCATTCGTCGTTTTCCCTTACGATGACAGATTTGTTTTTTGTTTTATCAATAGTTTTACACCACTTGCAACACAATAAGGTAATATAAGTGCTGAAGATTAGAGGTGTTACGAGAGAGTAACAAACATAAAACAGAAGAAGGAGAGATCAGGATGATAGATATTTGACAGGAAAGAAGGAGCAAATCACACCAGAGTACCCGCCAACCAACCACATACTAATAATAATAATAATAATAATAATAATAATAATAATAATAATAATAACAATAACAATAATAAGAATAATAATAATAATAATAATAGATTGCATTTATATAGCGCTCTATCTCATACTAGTATAAGCTCAGAATGCTTTACATCAATCACGTGATTGCTGATCCTAATACTTAATTCAAACGAAACAAAACATTTCACAGTAACTAACAATAAAAACCAGTTGAAGCACAGGCTGAAACCTCACCGAGTACAAGTCGCTGGTTCTCTCGGCAGTCAGGGAACTGCTGACAACCAGCTGACCAGACACCTCTCCCACAAAAAATATGTTGGATGAAGGAGGGGGAGATACGTTGCTGAGGCGATACCGCACTTCGCTGCTAGGTCCCTGCAACATGAATACAACATACGTGAACACAACATACAGGACTACAACATACGTGACTACAACATACGTGAATACAACATACAGGACTACAACATACGTGACTACAACATATGTGACTACAACATACGTGATTGCAACATACATGAATACAACATACGTGACTACAACATACGTGAACACAACATACGTGAACACAACATACAGGACTACAACATACGTGACTACAACATACGTGAATACAACATACAGGACTACAACATACGTGACTACAACATATGTGACTACAACATACGTGATTGCAACATACATGAATACAACATACGTGACTACAACATACGTGAACACAACATACGTGAACACAACATACAGGACTACAACATACGTGACTAC